ACCCTAAGCCCCTAAACCCCTAAACCCCAAAACCCTAAGCCCCTAAACCCCAACACCCTAAACCCTAAGCCCCTAAACCCCAAAACCCCTAAACCCCAAAACCCTAAGCCCCTAAAACCCTAGACCCCTAGACCCTAAACCTCATCCAAGCTGGAATCCTCACCTGGTCAGATCGTCAAGCAACACCTGATGCCTAGGCTGCTGGCTGCCCCATGAGTTTAGGATTTCGCAGCTTAGGGATCAGGATAGCATCCCTATATCATCCCCATATTATACCTGTATTATACTTCTATTATACCTATAGAATCCGCATATTATTCCTATATCATCCATATATAGTATCCTCAATACGTACGGCGGAGACCGCAGATCCCTATATAATCCCTACGTATCCCAGGGCTTAGGGTACTTTGAGAACCATTGGGGTAATATTAAGGTTATATTGGGGTTACATTGCGATAATGGAAAATGAAATGGAAACTACTATTTAGGGTTTCGAGTATAAGATTTAAGTTTAGAATACTTTGAGAACCCCCAAGACAAACATGGAAGCTTGACATACGTAGGCCTCGCTTGAAAGGACAGGCATGGCTACTTCAGGGTTGTGACTTTTTGAGTTCTTTGTATGAACATAACTCATGGGAATGGCGTTACCATCACATTCATGAACATCACGAATGCCAGCAATAAAGGAAGAGAAGGACACATTTTGGGGGAGGTGGCTGCTTGGGAACCAGCGCACGGTTTTTGCCGAGATGAGCCTATGGGTCTTTGGATTTTAGGCTTCATGTTTAGCGCTGGATGTAAAGTGAACTCGCTCAAACTCGAGAAAATGCTTCAAAACTTCAGGCAGAACACTAAGTTGCACAGACTGCGAACATGAAGGTTCGAAAAAAGGTCATGCGGCCGCCGCACCAAGCTCCCACCCCAAGTGTTGCAAACCCCCAAAAAAGTTCCGCCTTTGGACATAAACCATGTTCTCCAGCGACCCTTGAGGAATAAGGATACCTTCTTCCTCATGTCCCGTTTTAAACGCGGGCACCAAAATAAAAAGGGGAAAAGTGTACTTGTGGAGTACCTAAACCCTAAACCCTATACATCCCCATATATCCCTATATATCCCTACATGTCCCCATATGTCCCTACATACCCCTATAAAAGGGCACTTCTGAGGTAATTACCTAAAGGCCGAAAGTGCGAAGCCTAACCTTGACTATCCGGAGCTCGCTTTCGCCAAGCCTGAACCTCGACCTCAAACCTCAGGTGATTTACTAGTTCTTAGTGGGAATAAAAGTTTAGGGTTTAGGGTTCAAGGGTTTAGGGTTTATAGGCTTCGTAGGGAATAGGGGAATATGATACGCTTCGTGGGGAATAAGGGAATAGAAGCCCTTCTTCCGTACTACGCCCCAGTAAGGTTATGAAGCCTTCAAAGCTTACCCTCCACTCACTTCACAAGGAATCCCAGAAGAACACTGCAAAGGTTACTATCAGCTTCAAGTGGGTCTATGCGCATTTCAATGTTATTTGGGGGACCACAAGTACAGGATGTCAGCCCACCCGCCCCCTCCCAAAGGGATCCAGAGAACCTCAGTTGAACCCGTGCCCCCGGGGGGGGGGGGGAGAAAACAAAAACATGCGCGCTACGATAGTTTCCCAACCCCAAACCTCCCAAAATCCCAAACAAAGCGCAATATAGAAACTTGAATGCTTTGGCTGCATTGATTCATACTACGTAACCCCCGACATGATGCGGCCACTTATACCCCCGAACCCATACTGACTGTTGAGGCCCCTGCACGAACATGGTCCAATACTAGCGGAGACTGAGTGCCAGGCGGATTCGAGGATTTCTCCATATTGGCAATTAACATTCCTTGTTGCATGAACACGCGCTTTTGGATTCCTAGGACTTACTGCTTCAAGATGAAGGGCTCAGGGATCGTGGCTTGTGCTTCAGGTCAGGGCTTGGGTCTGAGTTGTTTAGGGTCTGGGATTAGGGTGACGCCAGCGTACATAGCTCTCACAAGCGCCATCTCTAATGCCAAATTCAAGAAGGCCATTGTTGCCTCCTCCAAGCCCTTCATGCGCCCTGATACCTTTTCAACTGTTAACTACGATGATCCATCCCTCGTGGCCACTTAAATTTATTCGAGTAAGTTGAAAACGATCGGCAATAAAGCCGTGTAATGTCCCAAGGTAAAAACGCACTTTCAAGGCACCAGCTAAATTCCGCTTTTGAGCAACCAACGGATAATGTAACACTTGGTGCGCTGCAGGGCTCAGCGATCAGCCCCTAACCCTGTGTTTGAAACGCCAACCCTTAAAATCATTTACTCCAGCAGGCAGCTGCAAATCAAAGAGCGATGCCTTCAAAACTGCCTGGGGAAGCCCTAAAGCCATGAAGCCAGGGGAGTGAATCTCTTGGCCCCCTAAACCCTAAACAGTAATTTCCATTTTCTCAATCCATTCCCCAACATGTCCCTTTATGCCCCCCGCATACTTGTAGTTTTTGATTTTCTTCCGCAAGCTTTACTTGCGAGCCATAGGGCGGTCGTTGAGCATGTACTCGCACATGGACTCGTCCAACATGCTGAGCACTGTCTCCACCTGGCAAAGCATGGGGTTTGTAGGGTGTACCTTCTGCCCAAAAATACCTTCAGCTTCAGGACACTGTAATATGAATCCGTCTATGAAACTCCAAAAGTCTTTGGCTCACGGCATGTGTGCCAATCAACCCGTGCTGTCCACGAGGCTTTGACTTCGTTTGACAAGCACGCTGATGGCTAAAAAGCAAGGCCAGAAATGTAGAAACGGACCATCATCATTGGGGTCCCCTTCCTCCTTTCTGCCACAGGCTTCTGGGCTGCCCGCCCTGCTGGGCCAAGTATGATGGGATTCATGAGGGACCCAAACGAGGAAGTCCTTGAACTTTGCACCGAAGCAGTTTAACAATTTGTCCTACTATACTATTACTCACCACTACCATTCCGACCACTCCTTCTTCTACTATAAGGTACTTCTTGTCCTGTTGCTTGCTGCCCCTGTTACTCTTGCTATAGCTGTCCTTTGCTGTTGATCAAGAACGCGGCAGCGCCGGCCCCCTGCCGCTAGGCCTAAAACAATAAAGAAAAAAACAGCGTATATAAATGCGATCTGGAATGCAGAATACGTTGACACCTCACCTGGATGAGATGTGGCTCACGTGTCTCTGTCTCGTGCATGGGTGGAGGGATTGCTTCAAAATTGAACTAAGAAATGAATTGCAGCAGTCATGTTAAAGCGCATGGAACTCTAATCTCTAAACGTCCAAAGCGTGTATCCTGGACCCTAACTGGCTATGGACTATGGCTGAACAGCAACATGCCAGCGCTGGCATCAATGGAGAAGCGATGCGTCCTTGGCTTTGCAAAGTATCGAGGGCTTCGGGCTTAGGAGCTACCAGTACCTCCCAGTACTGTTGATGGAGGAAACCCTGCACCCCTAAGTCCTAGATATTGCCACAGAACTACATGACTACATCTTCAGAGTTGGAACTACATCGAACGAAGTTCTACAGTTTCTCGTGTGCACCCTTCATATCTCATCCTCACAGACCATGAAAACATGTTGGTTAGGGTTTAGGGTTTAGGGTTTGATTGCATGCAGCCTTTGGGTAAGGTGGTATGGGGAGCGGAGTCCTACATTGGGATAATGGAAAAGAAAATGGAAACCCCTGTATTGTAGTTTATTGGGGGTACACTGAGATAATGGAAAAGAACATGGAAACTGCTATATTGTAGTATGTTGGGGTTGCATTGGGATCATGGAAAAGAAAATGGAAACTACGATATTGTAGTATATTGGGGTTACATTGGGTGTCTCCATTATTGTAGGGGCGAGAAAATCACGACCTTTATTAGACCCCTAAACCCGAAACAGTAGTTTCCATGTTGTTTTCCACTATCCCAATATAACCCCCATATACTAAAATATGGTAGTGTCCATGTTCTTTTCCATGATCCCAAAATAACCCCAATATACTACAATGTAGTAGTCTCCATCTTCTTTCCCATTATCCCAATGGAGCAACTGCCAGGCTTGATTTTTGTGAAGAGTATCACGACATGGGGCTACTATGTTACATAGGGTTATATACTGTTTATAGCGGTTATGCACCTACATATATAGATATCTTATATAGATAATAATGGACAAGAAAATGGAAACCACTGTAATCCGCAAATGAGTCTACCAAACGAAGACTCCCTTTTGTACCAAGCTAAGGTCTATGCTAAGCCCTGAAGCCATGAGCATCAAGCCCGTTCCACACAAGGAAGTCCCAACTACGGTTCTGAACGATAGTATTAGTAATAGTAATAATAGGAAAAGTAATAGTAGCTGTAAAAAAAAAAGCAATAGTAACAGCATTAGTGGCATGTAGCAATTCTCCCTACTCTCACGTTTACCTCCCTGAATTGACTTGTTGACCAACACTTTTTTTTGTACTGCTGGCGTGCTCAGCAGTTTCTCCTTCTTTACGGCTGAAGACGAGATTCCCCAGTTTCCGTCAGTACCCATCCTCTCATACTCATATTCGACACCCCACACCCCATATATGAAAAAAGGTCCCCCATCGTGTATGTATGTATGTATGTATGTATGTACGTACGTATGTATGTATGTATGTATGTATGTGTGTGTGTATGTATGTATGTATGCATGCATGCATATATGCATGCATGTATGTATGTACGTATACATAGATATCTAGGAACCGATTCTGTGTTGCCTTGCGCCAAGACCTAAAACATATTAGGATGTCCTGAAGGGGGGTGGTCCAAGGGGGGTGGGTAACCTAGTAATCCCCGTTATTCTCTTATACTCCCTCAGCTTCCCTAAGGTTCCCAAGGCTCCCTTGTACCCTCCCCCCTTGAGCCACCCCCCCTTTAGGATCCTATAAACATCAGGCGGGCGTCTTGCAGAATTCTCTCAGCCTGTCCTTGGTCCCCTGGCTATGCCTGACATGATTAGCTCTGACTTTTATGGATAGGGGTTTGGAAAATCAAACGGAAATGGAAAAGTAAGTAGAACGTGCTTTATAGCATTTCAGGTTTAGGGTTAAGAGTCTACTATGGGCAAAGAAGCTGCTTTTGGGCACATGCCCTGAAGAAACATAGTCTTCGGGCATACCAGCGTACGATCCTTAATGCATCTGAATGCCAAAGCTGGGAATTGCATGCGGAGAGTCATGTGACGTTTCAGGGCTTGATATTCTCAATGATCCGATTTCAGCAGATGTTTGTCAGATTTCCACGGCCGTATGGTGAGTTCCGGAAAGTTGCGTTTCACGTATTCCTGAGTTGGGTATACATATCACATTTTCACAAGTCTGATTTGGGCCCTCATGCTTGGATCCAGCCAACCAGGCGCCCCTTGTCAATTGCTGCCGCACAAACACCGGATCTACTAGGGGAACTGCCGTATACCCCAAAATAACATTTTAATCCTTTTTATCGTGACCCAAAATGGTACCCTTATTTCGGGGAGCCCCTACATGTATCCTCTACCCTTCACGCAGAGCAAGCTGACTCGCAACCTGGAAATCATCAGAGATATCTCCTTCCTAATGGCAAACTTTCCCAGGTTCTACTTTAAAGCCTATAAAAGAGACCACAATAAAGGAAAGATCGAGAGGTGCCTTGGTGATAGTCACAACAGCTTAAGATCCCACTTACAGGTAGCAGGTGAGATGTGTTCTTGCCGCCCCTTTGTCCCCCCTAAGAACCCCTATAGTCGTCCTCTATATTACCCCCAATATAGCCCCCGTTAAGGACTTTAGACTGAAGCTCATATGGACTGAGATTTACTGAGAGGGTCTGGAAGACATTCGCAGGCCTGTTTGCGGCAATACGCACGGAAAGTCTTCACAAGAAACCCTAGGTTTAGGGCTTAGAGTTTAAGGGTTTAGGGTTTAGGGGTTTAGGAGCGAGCTGCAGATATGACGAGGAACCTTCACACTCAGAGCATGTCGCTGCGTGCCATCGAAATCTGAAACTGCAAGAAAAGACTAGCAAGCGCTCTCCAGTTGAGATTTCAGGGAACCCTGACCCCAAATGTACGATAAACTCCGATTTCAAAGGCACCTCACACCCAGCCTTCCTAGAGCGCCCAATCTTCAAATTAGTTCGCGCTCAGCTCTTCTTGGAAACTAAGCCCATGTTGGACCGCGGGGAAACTATCTTGCTGGTTTGTAAAAGGGAATGAAGGAGTTCATGGCTAAGAAAATGCAAAGTAAAACTTAACAGGGCATTACCTAGGGACTGCTACAGGGATGCATTCCTCCCTTCCCTAATTACTAGCAACCCCGTTGAAAGCTACTTACGCCTAGGCGCTTAACACCCTCAAGCCCAAACCCTCAGTCAATCAGGGTTTAGAGTGTAGCATCGTGTCCAGCTCCGAACACAGACCCCCCAGTTGAAACTCCGCAGCCCTATAATTCCCCTTTAAGTAGATAGAATCTGGGGTATATGGGGATCTTATCATAAAATTGGTCAATTCCATATTCTATCTACTTAAGGGGGAATATAATCTCCGGACCCCAAAATGGAAACCCAACTAGAATGCCAGCGCTAACAAACCTGGGCCACATACCTAAACTCGGCATCCGAACAACTTCACAAATCCTGGAACTCTGCACCAAAAACGCATCACTAGCTGGGGTTTAGGGTTTAGGGTTTAGGGTTTAGCTGTTTCTGAAGATAGCTCTCAGCAACACTGATAACTCGTGCAACACGTTTTCAACCCCCCCAGGCCAGACTCTTCAACTCTTAATAAATCCCCTTTTCTCCCCACTTCCAAATCCTAGACCCTAAACCCTAAATAGTTGTTTCCATTTGATTTTCCATTATCCCTATATAACCCCTGTACAACCCCAATATACACAAATCTGCAGCCTGTTGTTCCGAATGCGGTAAGCTTGGTAGCTCCTGCCGTGATCTTACTGATTTAGGATTTGAGGTTTGGTTTAGGGGATGGTGAAGGAAGCAAGTGAGGGTTTGGGGTTTCCGAGAATTAGGGGTACCTTTTTTGGTGGGTGCCTATAACAAGGATTACTAAATTTTTTGAATTTGGGGGTCTATGATGGGGTCCCCCTGTTTTGGGAACTTACCACAGGCATGAAGCATCAGTAGTAATTGCACTAAACACAGCTTTCCGACTCTGCAAGCAGTGTGGGATCGCATCCAGGAGGTTCATTTTTGTTTGTGTCTGTTTTGCCAGTTTAGCCAAGGATACCACGAGTGCAAAAGAACCCTGAACCCTATAAACCCCAG